ATTTGCAAAAATAAGGGTTATATTTTGGGCTTTGACCTTTCTATTATACCCTCATATCACTCACGTGGGTATGGAAGAGGAAGGTACAAGGGAAGGGTTTAATTAATGTGAATAGTATTTTAGGAATGATTACAAATAGTGTTTTGTTTCACTTCTCCAATATCACACGGTTTAGCAAGCAAAAAATAGAGGGAATTACAAAAAAAATAAAGTTTGTGAAAAATTTAAAAATTCCTCCACACAATTTCAAGTACACCTAAAACATCTTCAATAAATACACAATGATATTCTAACATTAAACACACTTCATCTACCCAAAATACTCTTGCACTTAATGTGTTCACTCTTTAATTTTTTCTTCTTTTCCATTAATGGCAGCCGACTTCTTCCCCACACAGGACGTTGATTCCGCTTCCGATGTCGATTCCTCCGCTGACCCCCTGCCGCCGCTCCTCGATGTTCCTTTTGCTTTCAACACCCTTGAAACAAATCATTCAAACAGTATTTCCGGTGTACACGCAAGGGATGAACGTAGGAAAAAGATTGTTGATGCAATTCTACAAAAGGTAAACAACGGCAAACTTCAGCATGGCTCAATTAAGGAAGTGGCAGATCAGTTTAACATGTCACAGCGTTGGGTTGGAGAGCTATGGAGAATTGCTAAACGTCAATTGGCATGGGGCCAGGTCATAAATGTTCAATGCAGATGGCGGGGTAATGTAGGGAAGAAACGTATGGTTGTGGACTTCTCAAAGCTCAGTGAAGTTCCATATCACTAACGAAAGACTTTACGTGCTATAAGCCATTGCATGAATGTCTCGACCAGTACAACACACAATTGGCTCAAGGAGAATAAAATAAAAAGACATTCAAATGCCATTAAACCCCTTCTGTGCGAAAAGGGGAAGTTAAAGAGACTCAGATATTGTTTGTCTCTTATTTCTCCCACATCACTGCCAAACAATCCCACATTTCATGACTGCTATAACTACATATAGATGAAAAGTGGTTTTACTTTAGCAAGGAAACAACCACTTTTTATAAGTTGCCTGACGAGGAAGAACCATACAGAGCCACACAATCCAAAACACACATTCCCAAGATTATGTTTTTGGCAGCTGTAGGTTGTCCTAGATTTGGGGATGATGGTGAAGTGTTATGGGATGGAAAAATAGGCATATTTCCATTCACATATGAGGAAGCAACCCAAAGGAATAGCAAAAATAGGCCAGCTGGTACAATGGAAATCAAGCCAATACAAAAGATTACAAGAGATGTGATGAGAAGCATGTTGGTACAAAAACTACTACCAGCAATAAGGGATAAATGGCCAGCCACAACCAAACATGTACTCATTCAACAGGACAATGCTAAACCACATGTTGATATTAATGACCCAGAATTTGTTAGTGCTGCAAAGGAAGGTGATTGGGATATTAAATTATAGTTTCAACCCCCAAACAGTCCAGATTTGAATGTGCTTGACCTGGGGTTCTTTAGGGCTATTGGTGCAATTCAGTACAAAACTGCACCCAGGACAGTGGGAGACTTGATTGGTAATGTTGTAAGTGCTTTTGACCAACTCACCCCTCAAAAACTAAATCATGTGTTCTTAACATATTAGCTGGTCATGGGTGAGGTCCTCAAGCATAAAGGAGGTAATGACTTCAAAATACCTCATATTGGGAAAGAAAAGTTAGCCAGACAAGAATTGCTACCAGACAACATAGGTGTGAGTAATGAAGTCTATGAAGCTGCTGTGAACTTCTCAGAAGTCAACAATTAAGGAAAAAGAAGTCATGAACTGTAGGCTATGTATTTTGAATGTACATCTGGTGTACAATTGCACACCTTTTTATTTTTTGGTGCAAATGTAATCCAGATGTGCATTTTTGTCAATGTTGTAATGCAAGTTTAGGAATGTTGTATTCCTTGTGTGTGTGTGTGTGTGTGTATCCAGTATACAAACTGGTTTTTTGGAAGTTCACTGGCTCATAACATTCCTATTCCATCATAGCCACAGAATTAGAGACTTGGACAGAGGAGGCAGTAAAATACAAGGGGCTCACTGCCTCAGAGAACCTAGGAGAACCACATTTTTGGTTCCATCACAGGCACTTATTTAAGGACTCTTAGGAATTAGACACTCAACAAGGAGAGTCTAAATGGCTCAGAAAACATAACATTCTTGTTCCATCATAGTCACAGGATTAGGGACTTGGACAGAGGAGGCACTAAAGTGCAAGGGGCTCACTGCCTCAGAAAACCTAGGACATCCAGAGTTTTGGTTTCATCACAGGCACATTTTAAGGACTCAACAAAAATTAGACACTCAACAAAAGAGAGTCTAAATGGCTCAGAAAACATAAGAGCATAACATTCATGTTCCATCATAGCCACAGAGAACCTAGGAGAAGCAGAATTTTGGTTCCATCACAGGCACATTCTTTGGAACTCTTAAGAATTACACAGTCAAGGAGGGGCTAACTGGCTCAGAAAACATAAGAGCATAACACTGAAGTTCCATCAGAACATTATTAAGGCATTACATAATGAAGAAGTAGGGTCTAAACTCAACAACCCTAACCAAACTGGTCATGAACTCTACAAGGCTGACCAAACACAACACCTTCATTGACCATTGTAAGTCTCCATACCGATTGGGGTGACATTACATTTTAGCAATTCTCCTATATTTTGGTAATTAATAGGTTTGCATCATTAGTTGCCAACAAAATCAAGAAAAAAACAACATGCAATGACATATACAGAATATATGAAGTCCAGAAGGTTAAAGGACATTACTCTAGCGAAATCGTTGGAGTTTGGAGGGACTATCTACCGGTTCAACGAAGAATATCTCCGTATCGGAGTTCATTTCTCTAATCTCTTCAGTAGTAATTGATTCGTCTTCTGAATCACCTTCTTCCCGTTCCAGATCTGAACTCCACTCTACTCCATCCGGTAGATGGTCACCTCCAAGGTATTTTTTCCGGTAGTTCTAAGATGGATCCGTGTCAGATGAATCCGATGGAGGGACAACTTCATCGCCATGAAAGGAATGGATTGACACATCCTCATCGGGCTAAAGGAACCATCGGGAATTTTTCTCTTGGGGCGAAAACATTCCTCATTGCTATCACTTAGCAAGCGAAAGGAGGGCATGGAAAGATCTGGAGAAGATGGAGCGCCGGCCATGGGAGGAAGTGGAGAGAATTGGTGGTGAAGAAGAAAGGTTGACAGGTGTAATGAAACGGGTGAAATAACAGAGGGGGAGTAAATTAGGGTAGGGGGTATTTTAGAGACTTTAAGTGGAAGAGGAAGTGTTTTATTGGAAGTGAAAATTTTGAAAGGAGAAGTGTTTTTAAAAACGGAGGGAGTACTAAAAAGGTAGATTTGTGATAAAATAGTAGGGTATTATTGATATTTAGTTTTAAAAAGTATACTAAAAAAAGAAATGGGAAGAATATTTCCGGACGGACCAAAAAGGAAAATGAGAAGAATATTTCCGGACGGAGGGAGTACTATATTAAAAAATTAAAACATATAGTACTATATTAAGAAAGTTACTATGTTTTAATACTATATAGGTAAATTCCCCCTCAAAATAATCATTTTATGTACCAATGTGTATAAAAAGATCATGCTCGTTCAAACACTTATTTAAAAAAAGATCAATGATATGTGTCTCAGCCTTTTTTTCCTGATTCATACAACCAAACTCTCGTAGAGTCACACACGCACTCAATAATACGGAGTACAAAGACACAACTTTTAAAAATAACTTTGTATTATATAGAGAAATGTACAACATAGATTATAATTACACGAGTATCACATTTCACTTTTTGTAGTGAGACTTCTACATTTCTCTAGAAAATTCCACAATATTCCAGAGAGTTCTACACATCTCTACTAACTTCTAGAATTTCCTAGTATCATCCCTCCCACAACTCTTTGAAAACATTGAATTAATATCGATCCTAACACATATTGTCTTCGTTAGGAATCAAACTACCATAATTCCCTTTTGCACTCTCATTGATCACTTGAGAATGAACGAAAGAAGAAAATGCAAGTCTACAGCAAATTATATATTCCCTTCGTTCCTAAAGGACTCTAATGATTTCCTTTTTTTATTGTTTTAAAAGAAATTTTCATTCCACTTACACTATGTTGGTGCAAGGAGCAAATTGGAAAGGAAAAATAAAAGAAAATGAAATGAAAAATCATTTTTTCTTTTCTAGTTATAGAGTAAAAGAAAAGTAGAAATAAAGGAAAATGAGAAAGTAAAATATACTAAGAGTAGAGAAAATTAAATTTCTCCTATTTTCACGAGAAAAATGAGCGCAACCATTTTCATTTTTTTCCTTCAAAATTTTATTCTTTTCTAAAAGAATGAAATTAATTATTCGAATTATTTTTCTCTTGCATCTAGATAAACTTCCACCGTACGATTTATTTTTCATTAAACTAAATGAAATTTAAGACATGAATTGAAAGTCTTTTATGGAGGGAGTAATCGAGTAGGATAATGGTTTAAAAAAAGAGAAATTTACCTAAATAGGACTAAAACATAATGACTTTTCCAATATAAGACCATATGTTTTTATTTCCCAATGTAGCACTTTTGGTCATTATCATGTAGTCATTATTCAAGTAAATGTCCATCATTATTGGACATTATTCTTCCCACTAGGTCATTATTAAGTCCTATTTAGGGAATTAAAAAGTTTAAGTCCTATATTAGGAAAGACATTATGTTTTAGTCCTATTTAGTGCAAATTTTACTAAAAAAAATTTAAAAAAAAAGAAGAAGAAGAAGACATTTTCTACAAAACTAATGGTAGAATGTTTTGACCGCTACGTTCTTCATGTCCACTTTTTGAATTCTGATGCCACCATCTCCATCTTCATCATTAATCACTCCATATTTTATTGAGAAAAAGAGAGAAAAAAACTCTATATATAACAAAATTCTCTTTTAGCTATTCACACTGCCCTAAAACTGGAGAATAATAATCAAGAAATCATCAACATCAATATAGAACACACATGCAGTAAGCAAGCAGCTACACATCTTTTGTTTGTTTAATTTCTTGTTTTGTTTGGTTTTAGCATTGAAATGTTCCTTGTTATGCTATGAATGCAATAATAACCAAGACAAATTATTCATCATCATATGTTCAACCCATGCATGGTTATTAGGAATAATATAATGGAAGATACCACTAATGGCAAAATGGCCATTGAGCATAACCATGAGGAGAGATTATTAAAACTCGTGGGAGATGCCATGGACGGCGGCGGCGCAATGGAGGCGATCACCACGTATCCTAAAAGATCGCGACCAGAGAGTGATGATGATACTGCCACAACCAACGGCGGTGGCGCCTTGGAGGTGCCCATTGGAGAGCCGAATAATAAAAAGTCGCGACTAGAAGATGGAACAGGAAACGGAAGCGTTAGTATGGAGTTGATGAGCGTGGGCGATCATCTAACAAATGGTGAAAAAACTTCATCACCAGAAGAAGAAGAAGAAGAAGAAGAAGATACTAATAGCGGCAGTTGTAATGGGACAATGATGGTCACTAAGGCTAACGATGAATCGTCGTTGCCTGAAACTTCCCCTATGCCTCTTGCTAGATCGTAAGTTACAATAATGGGCAAGGATCTTTTGACCTTGGATGACTGGGGCACCTACGATGCTCTGTTTGTAATTGATGATTCCTATTCCATCTAACCCCCATGCCCCTGCATTCCACCCCAACCTCTCTATACCGCCGATTTGGCAGTGGGTTAAGGGGGGTAAGAATCATCAATTTTACTAAAGGAGCACTGTAGGTGTTCCGGGTCAGAATATGACCTTGATTTTCAATGTCAAAAGAACCGTTGGGTACAATAATAAATTAATATATATACTCAGAAAAACTTTTCATTTTTGTTTGTTTTCAAAATTGAATATGATTGTCGTGATCAGGTATCAGCTGGAAGCGCTGGAGAAGGCGATGAAGCAGAACACGATAGTGTTCCTCGAGACCGGGTCCGGGAAGACACTTATAGCCATAATGCTATTGCGCAGCTTCGCCCACCTCATTCGCAAGCCCTCTCCTTACATTGCTGTCTTCTTGGTTCCTACTGTCGTCTTGGTCACACAGGTAACAACATATTTTATCTTTTCTCTGTATCAGAATGTTGGTTCAGTTTGATTTTCTTTCATACCTCCCTCAATATCTAGCCAATTTTTTTTTATATTAAAGATCAGAAAAGAATTTTTGTTCATGTGGGTTTTTGTTGTAGCAAGGTGACGTTATAAGGAGACAAACAGACCTAAAGGTGGGAAAATTTTGGGGAGAAATGGGAGTTGGTTACTGGGATGCAACTATCTGGAAGCAACAAGTGGACACATTTGAGGTGCATGCCAACGAAATTATTTATAATTAATTATTTATTAATTACACACAAAATGACACAAATTAATTAAAAGCTCTCCATGGGTCATGTCAAATAGCTTGGTGGTTCTGTGTTGATTAAGCTTAAATATAACTAGTTAAGTTTAATTTGCACTGAGCTAATTAAGCTATTTAATTAACTGGCCGGACACCCTCCGCCCATTCATTGACAAAGTAATGTGAAAGATTTATTTGATAATGAAACTCATTTCTTTAAATGAGAGTTTCATTAAAGTGAAGCTCCCACAATTACAAAAAAAAAAAATTAATGACTCAACAAAATATAAAAACAAATTTTATTTAGCACTTTAATATAAACATATACTAGGTTTAGTCTCATATTTCGCACGAATATATATATATATATATATATATATATATATATATATATATATATATATATATATATATATATATAGGGGCTGGTTCAAGTGAGAATGCATCTTGGTGAAAGAAATAAGAATAAAATCTGGCCTTTGGATCTGATGCATCGTGCGGCTCAGATTGCATTCTGCACTCAAATTTTGAGATAGTGCATTTTCAAAGGATTATGGTGCATTTCGACATGATGCATTTTCAAACCATCTTGGTGCACCTAATTTTGATGCAATCCTAACCCTTAGATCTCCCAATCTAATGCACCAGATTCANATATATATATATATATATATATATATATAGGGGCTGGTTCAAGTGAGAATGCATCTTGGTGAAAGAAATAAGAATAAAATCTGGCCTTTGGATCTGATGCATCGTGCGGCTCAGATTGCATTCTGCACTCAAATTTTGAGATAGTGCATTTTCAAAGGATTATGGTGCATTTCGACATGATGCATTTTCAAACCATCTTGGTGCACCTAATTTTGATGCAATCCTAACCCTTAGATCTCCCAATCTAATGCACCAGATTCATTCTTATTTCTTTCATTACATTGCATTCTCACCTGAACCAAAATCTATATATATATATATATATATATATATATATATATATATATATATATATATATATATATATATATATCAGGGCCGACTCGAAAGTGGGCCGAGCTAAGGTGCTCTACCAGTCAAGATCTATTTTTTTTAGAGATCCAACATTTCTTAACTTATTACTCCCTCCGTTTGCAAAAAGACTTCCCATTTTGATTTGGGGGCAAAAATAAGGAAGTTTAAAATTATAGTTGACTTCCAATTTTGCCCCTAATGTGATGGGTAAAGTAAGATGTGATGTATAGATTATTAGAGAAAAAGTATGATGTGATAGGTAGGGTATGAAAAAGTAAGGGTAAAAATAGTTTTTTAATAAAAAGGGGAAGTGTTTTGTTGGAAGTGGAAAAAATGAAAGAGGAAGTGTTTTTGAGAACGGAGAGAGTAATATATATGGTATTTTTTAAGGTAGACATGATTAGGGGTGAGCATTTTTTTCGAACCTACCGCGAAACTGTTGACCGAAAATCAAATTAAGCAAAAGTTTGGTTTCAGTTTCGGTTTTCATGCAAAAAGCATTATCGGTTTTTCAGTTGGTTTTCTGTTTTTTTAAGAAAAACTGAACCGATCGAATAACAGATGATTTTATTTTATTTATTTATTTATTGTTAAAGTTTTAAACATATTAATAAGAAAAGGATAATTTTTTGTTTGAAATGGACAATGTATATTCAAATAAATATTAATCTACCTTACTAAACTGATGACAATAGAAAAATGTTAATCTAAACTGATTTAATACATATTAATCTACCTTCTCGAATTAATTTGTTGAATAAATTATGTTAAAAAGTCAAAATAAAGGTAATTAAAATTCGGTTTTCAGTCGGTTTTTGGTTTTATTAGTTCGACCGTCTCAGTCGGTTTTCAACCGTCTCTAAAAAAAATTGGTTTTTCGATTTTAAATCAAAACCGATCGTTGCTCAGCCCTTAGCATGAGAATGCATGGAGTGCTTATATAGAGCATATTATAGTCCTACGTTATTGGGCAATAAGACACTTAGATCGAACTACATTAAAAGATTAATTTCAATCGGTTACCCAGTTCAATTTAAAAGTTTATATATATACCGTACCGCTTATTTTTCTCTTCAATTTCCGATGTATGATACTTTAATAAGAATGTTTTGTATATTAGGTGATAATCATGACACCAGCATTGTTGTTGTCTGCTCTAAGGCACAGCTTCCTCAAAATTGACATTATAAAGCTTATGATATTTGATGAGTGCCACAATGCAAGGGGCAAGCATCCCTACGCATGCATTATGACGGTATAAATTTATTTTTTGTATGTATAAATTTATGGATCGCATAATACTTTTCTTTGTCCAAGTTTAGTTGTACAATTTTCAAACTATCTTATATTGTCGAAAACTAGTGATAACAAATGGATTATAACTAATGAAAATAGAAAATAGAAATACTCGGAATTATTTTTAGAAAAGTTTGTTCCAAGTATGTTTTATTCTCTTTATGACACATATTTGAATATGTATGATTTGTCATATATATCCTCATTGGCAATAAGTGTTTGATAATGACTCTGCGAATGTGGTCATTAACAAGTGTTGCAATAATGACTAATTATCTCAAAGACTATTTAAAATATTTTTTAATAATGTCTTATTCTACATTAATTGTGTAATATGTCATTTCTTATAATGGCCTGGAGTTTTTTAGTAAACAACGTTTCAGTGTATTCTACAAATAAGCAGCATATGTCATATTAATAGAATGTCCTATTAATAGATGTCATTATTAACATCCATTTGTAGAACTTTCTATTGCCAAATGTTCAAGTAAATATGACGATCCGGTCTTATGAAAAAAAGTGATATGTTTAAGTCGTATTTGCGTAAATTACCCTTATTTCTAATGTGTTATCTTTGTCCCATAAAATTCTTTATTTTTCATTTTTAGGATATCTCAAAAATATCTTACACTTAAAGACCCTTGAAATTAGTGTGTTCTTCATAAATAGACTAATTAAGTTAGTAAATGTGGATATACTTATGAGATCATGCTTTTTAATTACTGGGTTAGTTGTACGGAGTATAAGATTTTAATAATTTTATCTCAATGAAATAATTAATTACTCCGTAATATTTCAAATTTATTTAAGTATTTATTTATTTTGCACAAGTAGGAATTCTATCATTCCCAATTACAGTCAGGAAATGTGCAACTTCCAAGAATATTTGGGATGACGGCCTCACCTATTAAAGCTAAAGGTTAACATTATATTATTAAAATCCCATATATATCAGTGACATTGCTAATTATTTTAATTGCCTTCTATTATTATTATTATTATTATTATTACCCGGAGTATTATTATTATTATTATTATTATTATTATTATTATTATTATTATTATTATTATTATTAAGTTCTATGCATGGATGAAATTGGTAATTAATAAATTAGGGTGTTTGTGGAAACAGGTTTGAGCATCAAGGTTAGTTACTGGGATGAGATTCGTAGCCTGGAAGATCTTATGAATTCAAAGGTTTACTCATTGAATTGGTCCATATTTAGTTTTACTTGTACCCTCATTGTTTGAAAATATACTAGCAATTTTATCTATTACTCCTTATCCTCGAGAGTACTTATCCAGTTTTGATATTTTTATCGATTTTTGATCTATAATTAAATAAAAATTATATGGTATATGAATTAAACAAGATAACATTTTGAAAATATTTTACAAAATAAATCTAATAATATTATTCTTATATGAATTTCTAATACTTTTTTTGTTTAATAACAAATGCTTGGCAACAGTAGTACTATATGAGTACTTCCTCCGTCTCAAAGTATTTGTCAATTTTTGACTTTTTTTTTTAAAATTGATAAATTTTGACCTCAAATTAAATTAAAATAATATTAGATATTGATACAAAAATAGTTTAATTAATTAGATTTATTATAATCCGTATAAAATATTTTAAAAATCTTATATTATCTAATTAATATACAATATACTCCGTATATTTTATTTAAGTATAGGTCAAACGCCGAAAACAATTCACTGAAAAAGGTTAAAACTGGAAAAATATTCCGAAAACAAAAATATATAAATGAATTAGGGCAACATTATTATAGTTACACTTTTAATTTATAATAATTAATGTGTGAATGAATAATATAATGAAATATATGGAAGGTATACACTTGTGCAAGTCAAGCAGTGTTAGCAAAGCACATTAGATTTGCCACTGCAAAGGTGAAGACATACGAAGAGGCTCATATTCCTAATGATACCCTCGACACCATTGTCAATGCCTTGCATACATTCAAAGCTCAGGTATGACATTTTGATATATTTTGTTTATTTTTATGTTTTTATTGATCATTTCATAAAATGAAATTTTTTTTGTTTAGAACTTTTGATATAAGTTTTGAATATATAATTTTTTATTTTTTATTATTTCAATGCCAATTTGTAAATAAAATCATTTTAAAAATAACAGGATTTTACATGTTGATCGAAAGATGCATATCATTTTAGGACTGATGGGTTACTTTTTATACTAGGCCGATAGCTTGTTTATTCATGAATTAGGATCAGGGTATCCCAATTTTGACATCACCCTTTTTACAGATGTTTATAGATACGGATCGAATAGTATCGGTGTCTCTGAAAATCTTTGAAAAATTGATGTCAAAACTAGAGTAACCATAACATTATTCGAATTTATTTTGGCAGGAACAAAAAAAATGTATAGCATATACTGACACAAAGTTATTTTTGCGAAACACAATCTCCATATCTTGAATTTAGTTAATGAGGCGGCACATTCTTATATTGTTTTCTTGAAATGTCATTCTTGTTTTATTCAAAATGTGTAGTGTCTATATATATATGTTCGAATGAGAATTATATTTGAGGATAGAAATGAAAAATATATATACTCGTATAAGAAATCAACTTTAAGATCAAGGGAAAAATGAAAAGATAAAATAATTGTGTTATATTTAAGCTTAATACTGTGAATTACAATGCATAATTTATAACTAAATGAATAATTAATTTTAAAATCAGAATTATACATAAATAGATTACTTCAACTAATTTTCAATTAGATATTTAAAATAATTTAGCTTTTTTTTTACGCAAGCGAAGATTAAAAAGATTAAAGGGGGCATATATATATTTTGGGGATGTTCGGGTGACATTAGTCCTCCATGTCATCCTATGACATAAGTCTTGATTAGAGCTCCTACAGTGCTATGTTCAAAAAATTAATGGTTCTTACCTTCCAAACCCCCCCAAATAAATTTTGTCGGGTGTAATTGGAGGGTGTGGGGGGGGGTCGGTATGGGTCGGGCCGCAGTGGGGGGGTTTGGGGGGTAAGGAACCATCAAATTTTCGAACATGGCACCTTAAATGCATCGGGTTATCCTATGACATTGTAATTTAGTGTCACTTGAACAAGAGTATAATTTTTTTGTAGTGGTATTAGTGTAATTTTTAAGAAACTACATAAACCTTTTAAAAAACAAGACATGATAAGAATATTTTTTCTAATGATCAATAAAAACATACAAGTAAATAAAAATTACGAGAAATCAAGAATAAGAAAATATTTTAGGATGGTGGAAAATGAGGGGTTGAATTTTGGGGAGGGAGTATAAATTTGAAAAGAAGGTGGGAAGTAAATGACTATATTAATATAGAGTGAGTATATATATATCAACAATTATGAATTCTTCAATAGAGATTTTATAGACTCTTTCTTCTCCAATTCATTCTCAGCTGCTCTGTAATTTGCACAAATGATCACTCTCTGTTCGCCATTTTCTATTTGCTTCTCGAAATCGATGCGCAAAACCAAAAACCGAAAATTCTTCGTCCGTTTCTTCAGCGGGAACAGCGAGTCGCCAAAGCGGATCTATCGGAGTCCGACGCGCAGTCGGCGAGCAGAAGACTGACGAAGCTTCTGGCAACCTTCCTGTTTTGTCTCGCTGAGTTGGGCATTTACTTGGCTTTCAAGGTACGTTAATGGCCGCCGCCCCCCGATTTCGGCAACATTTCTGTATGCTTAATTGGTTCAGCATTGATGCGTGAATTTGATGAATGGATTGAAATTGTTTGCTGGATTTAGGCGGCCAAGTCGATGTCCTCTGTTGACAAAGACATCTTTTTCTGGGGAAATTTGGAGGAGAATGCTGAAACCATTGTCAGAGATTTCTGTTTGGATGCAGCTAAGATCTTCTCAGCTCATCTGCCCACTGGTAATTCTCATGTTCTCTTTATTAATTTTGAATCTCTCATGACTTTTTGTTAAGTCATCCCAAGTCAGCTGAATATAGAAATACAAACGAAAATACAATGCCTTGTACTAATATTTCATTCTTTAAGTTTCCTATTTTGACATAGGTTAGCTGGTTGGTTTTGTGTTGATTCTGTTCTTGAGATAAAGGATTGGTTGTTATCGTTGTGGTACTCCGAAATAGGTGAACAATCGTACGTTGTTGGTAATGATCTGGGAGCTGATAAGGAGGCTGGATTTCTTACTCACAAAGTTGTAACTCTAATAGAAACTCTTCTTGAATATAGGTACCAATTCAATGCTACACCATTCTGGCTTTATACTTCCTCTATCCGGAATTAATTGTTCATCTTTTCCCTTTTGAGACGTCTGGAATTAGTTCTCCAGTTACTATATCGGGAGAATTAAGTTACATTAATAGCCCAATGTACCCCTATAAAGCTATAAGTCTATAACAAACACACATAGTGAATATTACTCCAGGTATTTTGTTACATGTGAAATAGCATACACAAAAAAAGACAACTTTTGTCATTTTATTATAAACCTTGAGTTTGAGGTATTATCATTATTTTGGAAAGTTCATAATTCTTAAATTTGAGGTATTCCAGAATGTTATGGTATATGTTCTAAACTTCGGGGTCAGGCCGTGTACATCTGACACCCCCTTACCCCGCAATGGGCAGGAGCCTTTGAGGTATTGGGGTAATGTTGTTGTTGTTGAGGTATTTTAGAATGTGATCAGTCAAATCTGGCTGAAGGAGCAGTGCTGATTTTTAACAATTTTTCTGTCACTAAAACACCATATGCCTATGGTCTATAACTAGGAGCATAAAGGATTTGAGATGCATTATATTTGTTGAGAGGGTAATAGCAGCAATTGTTCTTCCGTCTCTGTTAAATGAGTTGTTCATGGAGTTATTTGGTTGGAAAGCAAAATACACAGCAGGAAATGCATCTGTGCTGCAATCCCAAAGTAGGAGAGCTCAAAATCAAATTGTTGATGAATTTCGTATGGGAATGGTGGGTGATAAAATTCGTAGTTCCTATTGCGCTTACATTTGTTTTTGAATGCATGCATTCATAATCTTATCAACAACTGCAGGTGAACATCATTGTTGCAACCTCTATTCTTGAAGAGGGCCTTGACGTTCAAAATTGCAACCTTGTGATCAGATTTGATCCATCCTCAACAGTTTGTAGCTTCATCCAGTCACGTGGTCGTGCTCGAATGCAAAACTCTGAGTTTATATTGATGGTAAGAAGGTGGGTTTGTTTCTCTAGTCTCTGACTTTGTGCTCTTCTACAGATTCCACTCATGTTTTAACTTGGATCCTTTTTTTTGCTTATTATAGTGGGGATAATTCTACCCTTGATCGAATGAACAATTATCTTGCTAGTGGGGAGATAATGAGGAAGGAATCTTTAAGCCATGCTTCTCAGCCGTGCTCGTCTCTTGATAGTGAAATATATGATGAATATTCATATAGAGTTGAATCTACAGGAGCAATTGTTAACATGAAATCTAGTGTTTCTTTACTTTTCTTCTATTGCTCAAGGCTTCCTTCTGATCGGTTTGTCCCATCATCATCCTTAGTTCTTTGGTAACTTGAAGATTTTCCAATTTTCATCTCAATAAAATTCATAACAGTTGATCATATTTTTCTGCAGGTATTTCAAACCGGCTCCTAGGTTTGATATTGATAAAGATACGAAAAGTTGTGTTCTCCATCTTCCCAAAAGTTGTCGAATCCACTCAGTTAAAGTTGAGGGAGATCTCAAAATTGTGAAGCAACTGGCATGTCTAGAAGCTTGCAAACAACTCCATCAAGTTGGTGCCTTGACAGATAATCTTGTACCTGATGTAATGGAGGAGAAAGAAGACATCCAAGAATTAGGCAATTACTCTAAATGACTTCTTTTTAGTTTCTTATTATTAACAGATCTTCATTTGTCCCCTATTTATATAATTATATTATCGTTGTTTGAATAATCTGTGCTGATGAACTTGCATATGAACAGGATGTGTGGATTACATTGATGAACAACCAAGGTATTTTCCACTTGAGTTGATCGGTTGTGGTAGCAGTGATCCTGAAACAGCATTGCACTGCTACCTCATTGAGCTACATCATTACTGCTATGATAATACTCAGCTTCAGAACGTCATCCTTGCTGTGAAGGTAAAGCTTGAAGCTGATGATGATGAGAAATTGACTTTTGAATTGAATGTTGATGGGATCACCAGGGAAGAGCCATTGTTGTATCTTGGACAGATTAAGCTAACTTCTGAAAAGGTTTGTATAATCCTACTTGTTAAGGTAGACATCCACATCACCTGGATACAAAAATATAAATCAACATAGTATAAGACATTAGACTACCTTTCCTATCAGATTGACCTTTTAGGCGTTAGAATGGAACACCAAGTGTTAATATGAGCATAAGGTGTGTTTAGTCAGACTATAGTCTGACAATAATCTTATTTTCAGATAAAATGGTGTCAGAAATTTCAAGTTGTTCTTTTAAAAGCACTTCTTCGCAAGGATTTTAGTAAACCAGATGAAGGCTTAGATAGTACGATGGATTTCGCAAGCTTTAATTATCTCCTTCTACCGTCCATTGGTTTGAGCACAGAAGCTTCTGTTGATTGGATCCTTCTTGATTCTATATTGTTTCCATCTGAAAACCTTGAGGATAATCATACAAATTGCTTTTCAATGCATGGCTGTAAGCCCGTGAAAACAAAGACTGGCGTGGTATTTAGCTGCAGGCTAGAGAATTCTCTTGTCTGTACTTCCCACAATGGTAATGTATATTGTGTTACTGGGATTTTGCATAATTTGGATGCTAACTCAACTTTGGAGCTGAGACAAGGAGAATCCATGAGTTACAAAGAGTATTTCAAAAGCCGGTATGCAGATTAACTTACCATTTATAATATACCAAGTACTACTTCCATCCTAAAAAAACAAGCAGTGCTTTTAATACTAAAATAGTATTACGAACACTCCTCTTTGTTTTTGGATGGGAGGGGAGTGGTAAATGTTACTAACTATACCAAATTATGAAAACTACTTATTACAGGCATGACATTGACATACTCTATGACAAAGAAAGACTTCTTAATGCAAGATATTTGCCTAAGGTGCGGAATTACCTTAAAAAAAGCAGTGCTGAGAAAGGAAAAGGTTGACATCTTATTATCATATTGTGTAGTTATTTATTTATTACGGAGTACTTGTTACTGTTATTATTTTGACTCGTTATTATTGTTATTATGAAGCATTATAACTATGGTTGTAAGCTTGTCTACTTCTTTTTAAAGAATTGATCATTGACAGTTACTCTTTACGGTGCTATGTGTAGAACCAAGTAGTGCAACACTACAGTTACCTCCCGAACTTTGTTCCGTAATAATTTCTCCAGTGCCGCATGCCATGTTTTTTTCATTCTCATATCTCCCGGCAATCATGCATCGAATAGAGTCCTTCCTCCTTGCAAGGACCTTGAAAAGATTGCATATGGATCAATGCACGCCACAGAATTGTAGCATACCAACCAATAAGGTATATATGTTCTTTTGCGGTCATATTTTTCTTGCCTGCTGTTTTCAAATATTCATAGCAATGCTGCAGTGATGGATGTAGTGACTTGTGTTGGTAATTATGTATTCATAACTTTTAGATTTTGGAAGCAATAACAACCAAAAAGTGCCAAGAAAATTTTCACATGGAGTCTTTAGAGACTTTGGGAGACTCTTTTCTAAAATATGTTGTGAGTCGATATTTATTCACAACTTATGAGAATGACCATGAGGGGCTTCTTAGTGTGAAAAAGGAAAAATTGGTTTCCAATGATGCTTTGTGCAAGCTCGCATGCGACAGAAACATTCCGGTAAGAATTTTAATGATCATAATATTACTAGTCCGAGTCCCTAAAAGAGTTTCACTTTTTCCCTTTTGGACAGTCCCACAATAAACTCTATCTTTTCAAATTTGGTTAAGAAATGAAAGCCAATTCTGCTCCCATAAAAAAGAGTAAAAGTGAAAAGTAAAAGTGAATGAGTAAAGTGAAGAACTCCATGCAAAAAAGTGAAATTTTTTTAGGGACGAAGGCAATATCCATGGGAGGGTAAATGATGAATTGAGAAAGTTCCTTTAAACCTTTAGGGATTTATTCGTTCGGAACCATTTGATCCATACACATGGGAAATTCCTGGTGATCATTCCCTGGACAAGACGCTTAAAATGGAGATGATATCTTCTGCAAGGAAGGTGTACATCATGGGAAGTCGGAAGATGAAGAGTAAGAGAGTGGCTGATATTGCCGAGGCACTTATAGGAGCGTATGTTAGTACCATTGGAGAAGCAGCAGCAATCTCGTTTCTTTCGTGGCTTGGTTTGAGCGTGCATTGTACCAAAGTTCCCACAGAAAGGCAGTTCCCCATAAATGCTGGGAAGTTTGTTAATGTACAATATGTAGAGAGCTTGCTAAAGTACAAATTCCATGATACTTCTCTCCTTGTTGAAGCATTCACCCATGGCTCCTTCATGCATTCTGAAATTCCACGATGCTATCAGGTAACAGACACACACACACACACATCCATTCTTCACATCTCCCACATTACACCTTTACCGGATCTTATTGAGATGATTCTGGCTTTGTAATGCAGCGCCTGGAATTTATTGGGGATGCAGTGATTGATTATGTCATCACAGTTCACCTCTACAATAAATACCCTGGACTGACCCCTGGTGTTTTGACCGATATGAGGTCTTGTTCGGTGAATAACGACTGTTATGCTCTATGTGCAATCAAGTTTGGGCTACAAAAGCAAATCCTCCATTTTTCCACTGACCTTCAGAGGCATATAACAAATGCTGTTGAGAGCGTTGAGAGGTTGGGTGTTTCCTCCACATTTGGATGGAGTTCAGAGATAAGTCTCCCCAAGGTATGTTAAAAATTCTGAATGAAGTAGACACGCTCAGCTCGCCATGAATATGCGATAGTGTTTTAAAGATCCTCCACTTTGGAAACCAACACAAGTGATACAGTTTTGTGGATCCTACGGCAGCCCGGAGTTTGACCGAAGCTGTGAAATGACAACACTACCTTAAACAAATCTTGTCATTTTGTGTAAAAACATTCAATACCTCAATTTGACACCAAATACCCTTGTTTTCTATGGCAGCCCGGGTAAAAATCAAAGTGATGCATTAACTTGCTTACAAGGTTCAAAATGAAACACCCATCCATTTAAACAGAACAACATTTTCTTAATAGTATGATGGTATCTTCATCATTTCACAGCTCTGGGCTGGCGGGACTTAAGGGCATGTCCAATGCAAGTCTCATTTCATCTCCTCTTCCCTAGTTGGCATGTAAGTGGGACTAATGTTTGGTCTCATAGCATTGGATGAAAACAAAACAATGGAACCGGTCCCACTAAGTTGGGACCGTGCCAACTCATTCCATCTCCCTTTTTCATTTATTTATTCAAATTAGATGGGATTTTAAAATGGGACCTTGCATTGAAGATGGGAGTCCCACTTTTTAAATTGTCCTACATGGAAAATTTAACATCATTTCTAATAAAACTTGGGACTCACCATTGGACATGCTCTAATAGGCCGGTGAGGTCTTTTGTGTTAGTAACTAGAATCATTCTATAATCTGGTATATGTTTGGTTCATCACAGGTGCTTGGTGATATTATTGAGTCTCTTGGAGCGGCAATCCTACTCGATTCTGGGTTCAATGAGGACAAAGTGTTGGAAAGCATACTTCCCCTTCTAGAGCCGATTGTTACCCCAGAAACGGTGACACTCCATCCAGTACGAGAGTTGCACGAGTTCTGCCGAGGGAGAGGCTATATAATGAAAAAGCCTTTCGTCACCATCCGCGATGGAGTCTCGTTCATCACAATGGAGGTTGACGCGAACGGCGTCATCCACAGTGACACATGCTCAGCTCCCAACAAAGATGCTGCCAAGAAATTGGCTTGCAAGAATATCTTCAACAAGATGAGTGCTGAAGAGTTGGCTGCCAAGAAGTTGAATGCCGAAAACTCGGATGCTGACCAGTTGGATGGCGACAAGTTGAATGCCGACACGTTGGATGGCGACAAGTTGAATGCCGACACGTTGGATGCCGACCAGTTTGAAGCTGACAAGTGTCAGCCATGAGATACATACTTTGCCCCTTTTTTCTTATTAAATACAACCACAGTCCCAAAGATAAGTTTTTGTTTTTACTTATGTGGGCAAAGTTTTATAAAATTTAACAAAACTGTAGTTCTAAACAATCATATGCTTACAATTTTGATCTGTGTACAATTATTGATATTAATAGCTAAAGTATTCCATTAAAAACCGTAACATTCAAAATCTGTATCCTTTCAAAAAAATATGTATCTAATTTTTAGATGGGGGGGTATAGTTGGAATATAATGTGAGTTTGATTTTGGGACGATAGTAGTGAACTACTCCGTACTAATGATTACATTGAGTTGAAAACTCCACAAATCCACAACAAAAAGATCATGGGGTTATACGGTTCAATGACTATGTATGTTCTTATACTCCACTACTTTCAATGATTATGCATGTTCTTTTGAAGACGAATAGTTCAGTTATTTGTACATTCACAACTTATTAAAGTATATAGAGCTATTGAGATTCAAACATGCGACATCTCATTTGGAAGAGTCATTACGAGAGCACTGAAAATGGGTTTAAAACACCAGGCTTCAAATTAGGACTTCAAACCTTCTCTATGTAACTCTAAAACTTACTTCACAGTTTTATTAGAAATGGGTTTGAAGCCCCTGGGCTTCAAACATGAGCTTCAAACCTTTATTTTTTATTTTTAATATATATTTTGTAAAATTAAATTAATAAGACTTCATTAATTAATTGAATTTAAACGACAATAATTCATCAAATAAAAAATTACATTCAATAAAATAAATAACATTTATTTTCTAAAAATAATTAATAAAAAAACTAAGGAAAATTATATTTGGCCTTAATCTTTTTTGTCTTCTCTCGTAAAGCACATGTTTGAAGCCCTTTAACATATCAAGGTCGGTTTACATTATTTCGAGTGTCTCCTTCTCTTGTCTTCGTTTCTTCCTTTCTTCTTCCCTAAGAATGAACACTTGCAGTCGTTCAATCATTCCCTGGCTGATATTGTCATGAGAGGAAACAGAGTCAGACCTTGCAAAACCCGAGAGAATAGATTTACCTTCTTTCTTTCGATCGGTCGTGGAATGGGGTCCTTGTCATTGGATTCGTCTAGGTGGAAGGGAGGCCTTTTTCGGACGAGCCGATTGATAGTGTCATCGGCCTCAACCTCAGCGGAGGATATTTTCTTTGACGATCCGAGCTCGGGGTTGTTGAGTTATTTCCATTTCGGTGAACAGATCAAAATTCTCCAAAGATTGACGGGGACATTGCCTAGGTGTCCTCTTCTTGATATGAGGCAGTAGATTGCTGCAGAACATCAGCATCATTCATCCCGCTCTTCCTCGTAAGTGTTATACCCCCGGATGGCTCCACATAAACCCAACCTCTCCCAAAACATCCAAAAGTATTTCACGTTGTTTTGTTTTTCAAAATAAAGTCTTCCCGGCCTATTTTCTACCTATGGCCAAAAATAAGAAGTAAGAAGACCAATAAAACCTTAGAATGTTGTTTTCATCCTTCAAAGTATTTTGTTTACCAAATAAATGTATCCCTTCACCCTTTTCCTTGGTTGGCCGAAAATCCCCCTAAAAACCAACACACCACACACCCCTTAAACCCCACATTTGTCCTGCATTACATTCATACACTAAAGGCCAAAACCCACCCCAAATCATAGCCTAAACAAACACTCCTTTCTCTCCTTATTATGGCCGAAAATAACAAGCCAAAATCCCCCTTCAAACCCATGTCATAACCCCATCTTTGTTCCCCATTGTGTTCCCCAACTAAGCTGAACAAATACCTACTATCATCCAAGACACAATGGCCCACACCTACACCAATGAGCCCTCCTTTCTTTCCCCTTGGCTGAAATTACCTCCCCAAAACCCACAGAGAAATGGCTTGCATTCCCACATCCTATCCTCCACTTATAGCCGAAAATCCCCACCCCACAAGTACAAACCTTGTGTTTCTTTTCTCCCCAACAAGAAGACATCAATAAGTGGTCATTATTCCTTTGGATTTGTGTGAAGAAGTTGCTAGGAAGTTTCCTTGTATTTGCATTCAATGTATTGTATGTTTCCCCTCTTCCTTTTCCCCCTTATAAATTCGGCCATATGGCCATTGTAATACACAACCTTTGAATATTAAAACTTTGTTACTCTTTGAGTATCATAAAATAGTGTGATGCTATTTTAGCCAAATTCTTAATTCTATATCTTAAGAGTGGTTATCTTAAGTGTGAGTTTTAGGTTCTAGATATTTGATTAAGTGTGTTATATCTTAATTAAATTCTAGATTCAAACCCCAAGTTAAGATAAGGGTGTGTAATATCTCTTAACACCAACTTGGTTTTATCCATTATTATTTTCTATCCATTTCTTTTCCCACCATTTCTATCCTTAATCCCCTTTCTTTCCTCATATTAAAATACCAAAAGAACTCCTTCATCACCCCCATATTGTTCCATCCATTCCCCAAATAATCGATTATCAAATATAGATAATCGACTATTGCACCCTTCTGAATCCACTTGGCAAAAGCCGCAAGGCCCAATAATCGATTGTCACACTTGTGTCAATCGACTATCCGGCATCCCTGAAGTTCGTTTGTTTTGCAGCATCACTACATAATTGATTGTCAAAGCCCATAATCGATTATTGAGTGTCCCAGAACTCTGAATCCAAAGCTGCATCATCCCTTGATTCCTCCTTAAAATAACAACTCATTTATACCCCGGGTCTCGGGTATAACTGTAAGCTCCGATAAATTTTCAGACTTTTTTGTTGATGTGACCTCATTTAGAAGTGAGTTGATCTCGGGTTCGATAGGAGGCATCTTTGTTCATCGCTGCAAAGAACTTCTCTTTGATACGATCTCACATCACATCTTCGTCTAATCAGAACCTTTAAGAAATATATGATTGAATGAAAAAAAATATTTTAACAAAAATATATAAAGAAAAATAGACGAGGAGAGAGAAAATAAAAGAAATACTTGAATTATATGTTCTTTTTAAGAAAGAGAGAGATTTGTGTTTGTGGTGCGTGTTTTATTTTTTTTAAAAAATTATGAATTTATAGAGTAAGATTGGGGATCGGAGGGGAGAAGGGTGCGTTCGAACATTAAACGTTGGGCGGTGTTTAACGGCGGGGCGTTAAAATCAGGAAAAACACCCCCAAATGTTATTAGTATTTCCACTTCCCTGATGTCACTCGACCAGAGGCGGTCTTTAATTTGGCTCAATGATTATATATGCTTATTTCTCCACTTTTGATTTTTTGTCTAAGTCTTTCTTTAGAGCATCTCCAAGTGTGGATTGTTTTTTTTTCCTCAAAAAAAATAAAACAAAGATGAGAGGCAAAGCGTTAATTGCGAAATATTGTTTTCTAGTCTCGTGAAAATCAACAAAATTCAACTATCTTAATTAGCTATAGAGAGATTAATCCTACCTGATCCTCTTTCTTCTAATTATTCAAATTTCGTTCATCAAATAACTGACTATAAATATTCCGAGCAAACATTTAACGTTGTATGTCTCCACGCACAAACAATAATATGAATCCTCAAACTCTCTCCGACGTTGCCATGCATGCACACGTACACGTTCTTGTTGTGATCGAAGAATAGAAGGGGGGAAAAAAAATCAAATCTCGAAAGCAAATCAAATGGCGACGTCGGCGAACCCGAAAAAGACGGCCTCCGACGGCGGCGGCTCCGCCACGAACCGTCCCCCTCAGGGCGTGAAATTCGCGCGGCGGACATCGAGCGGCCGGGTCGTGAGCCTGCCGCGGGACGAGGACATCGAGGTCCCGGGGGACTCGTCGTCGGCCGCCGCCGCCGCCGCACAGAACGACTACATGAATTACACAGTGATGATGCCGCCAACGCCGGACAACCAACCGGGTGGCGGCGGAGGGGAGAAGCCGGAGGGCGGCGGGGGAGGGGGGAAAGGGGAGCGGAGGATGTCGGTGATGAGCCGGAACAACAACAACAACAACAACAACAAGTCGATGCTGGTGAGGAGCCAGACGGGGGACTTCGACCACAACCGTTGGCTGTTCGAAACCAAGGGCAAATATGGGATTGGGAATGCGTACTGGGAAGACGACGGGGACGCGTATGATCATGACACCGGAATGTCCATTTCGGATTTTATGGACAAGCCATGGAAGCCCATTACCCGGAAAGTCCAGATTTCCGGTGGAATCATTAGCCCTTACAGGTTTTTTTATTTTTTATTTTATTACTATATTCTCTACCTCCCTTTAAAAGATTATTTTTGCTTTTTCACCGTCACCAACTCGACCCTTTGACCATTAATAAACTACTATTATCAATCAGAAAATATTATAAAAATTTATTATATCGAAACTATGTCTACAAAAGAATCCAACTATATTTAATTTTATATTATAATTAAATATACTTTTTTCACAATTTAAGCTCAAAGTTTCAAAAAAAAATTGACAAGAAGAATTCATATATAGAGACGAAGTGTAACATTTCTCAGTCAACAAACTTTGGGATTATACTGAAATATTGTTGTTGTGGTACAATTTTCATTTTTTCATTATTTTTACTCTCCCGTTCCACAAAACCCTTCCTCTTTCGTTTTCTTGTTTTCCACAAAACACTTCCACTTTCTATTAAAAAACCACTTTTACCCTTACTTTTTCATACCTTACCTATCACATCATACTTTTTCACTAATAACCAAACTATCTCATCTTTCTCCCATCACATCTGGGACAAAATTGGAAAGTCAACCAAAATTACACTTTCCTTATTTTTCCCCAAAGTCAAAACTGGAAGGGTTTTGTAAAACGGAGGGAGTATTAAATTTTGTGATCAGTCAACCGTACACTAAAATTGGGACGAATAGAGTAACATATAAAGGCATCAACCTGCTTAGAGTCCCGCTACAATGACACCATCATAACACCAAACTCGACACCACCAATCTAAGAGATTGCATGCGTGTTTGCGAGGCATAAATGCTAGGCGAAGCCCGAGAATTTGACGCCATTTTGACACCAAATTTCTCACACAAATCACCGACACAAACAACTGCTGTCTATTTGTGTCTGTGAGAAGTTTGATGTCACAGTAGTGTCAAATTTTTGGGTCCCTCTAGCAAATTTTTGGTGACAAATTAGAAATAACCTAAATATTTACATTTGGGTGAAATGACAGGTTACTGATCGTGATCCGACTGATAGGTCTATTTCTGTTTATGGTGTGGCGATTCAAGAACCCGAACGAGGATGCCATTTGGCTATGGGCTATATCTATAGTGTGTGAGGTCTGGTTTGCCTTTTCTTGGCTTCTTGACATACTTCCTAAGGTCAATCCCATAGACCGGGCCGCCGACTTGGCCGCCCTCGCCGACAAGTTCGAGACCCCGTCCCCGTCTAACCCGGAAGGCCGCTCCGATCTCCCCGGCGTCGATGTCTTCATTTCCACGGCTGACCCCGACAAAGAGCCCCCCCTTGTCACCGCCAACACTATCCTCTCCATTATGGCGTGCGAGTACCCCGTGGAGAAGCTCTCCATTTACATCTCCGATGACGGGGGAGCCATCCTTACGTTCGAGGCCATGGCCGAGGCCGTTGAGTTTGCAAAGGTATTTTACATGTTCTTTTGTATCATTACTTCTCGGCCAGGGTGTTTGTCTGGCTTGTCTAGTGTCAACTTTGGTGCCAAAGTTGGTGTGACTCTAACATGATCTTTCTTGCTCCTATAAGGTTCGATCTAGCTATCTGAAATGGCATTGTTTGTTATGATAGGTTTGGGTGCCATTCTATAAGGTTCGATCTAGCTATCTGAAATGGCATTGTTTGTTATGATAGGTTTGGGTGCCATTCTGCCGGAAACACAACATTGAGCCGAGAAACCCGGACAGTTACTTCAACCTGAAAAGGGATCCGACCAAAGACAAGAAACGGCTAGATTTCGTGAAGGATCGGCGCTGGATCAAGAGAGAGTACGACGAGTTCAAGGTGAGGATCAACGGTTTGCCGGAAGTGATAAAGAAAAGGTGCGACACGCACAACAAGAAGGAAGAAATGAAGGAAAAGATGTTGGCGAAGGAGAAGAACGGCGGGGTGATTCCTCCGGGAGGGCCGAACCTCACCAACCCCGCCACATGGATGGCGGATGCCACCCACTGGCCCGGGACATGGTTCGACCCGATAACCGATCACAAAAAGGGGGACCACGCCGGGATTCTACAAATAATGAGCAAGGTGCCGGAACACGACCCCGTAATGGGGCAACCGGACGAGAAGACTCTAGACTTCACCGGAATAGACACGCGACTTCCCATGTTTGTGTACGTTTCGCGCGAGAAACGCCCCGGTTATGACCACAACAAGAAGGCGGGAGCCATGAACGCGCTGGTGAGAGCATCTGCCATCCTTTCCAATGGACCCTTCATCCTCAACTTGGACTGCGACCATTACATTTACAACTCTCTCGCGATCCGCGAAGGCATGTGTTACATGATGGACCGCGGCGGGGACCGCATCTGCTACATCCAATTCCCTCAAAGATTTGAAGGAATTGATCCCTCTGATAGATATGCTAATCACAACACTGTCTTCTTTGATGGTACCTAGATGAGCTCGGTATATATACATACTTAGATTCCCAGAGATATTGTGTGGTAATGCACCTTTTTTGTTGCAATCAGGGAACATGAGAGCCTTGGATGGTCTCCAAGGTCCGGTGTACGTGGGAACGGGTTGCATGTTCAGGCGTTACGCGCTATACGGGTTCAACCCGCCGCGACCGAGGGAGTACTGGGGGATATTCGGACAGTATAAGGTGGGGGCTCATGGTAGTCACCACCATGGAATTGGAGACGACGAAGATGCACAGCAGCCCCTGACAGCAGACCACAACAACCCAGACTTGGCCCTGCCGAAGAGGTTTGGGAACTCAACCATGTTCACGGAATCAATTGCTGTTGCGGAGTTCCAAGGAAGACCGCTTGCTGATCACATCTCGGTGAAGAACGGTCGGGCTCCGGGGGCCTTGCTCGGGCCCCGCCCTCCCCTAGATGCGCCGACCGTGGCAGAGGCCATTGCCGTCGTGTCTTGTTGGTATGAGGACAAAACTGAATGGGGAGAGAGGATTGGATGGATCTACGGGTCGGTGACAGAGGATGTCGTGACCGGGTACCGCATGCACAACCGCGGGTGGCGGTCCGTGTATTGCATCACAAAGCGCGACGCTTTCCGAGGGACGGCTCCGATCAACCTCACCGACCGTCTCCACCAAGTCCTCCGGTGGGCGACCGGATCTGTCGAGATCTTCTTCTCCCGGAACAACCCGGCTTTGGCAAGCCGCCGCCTCAAGTTCCTCCAGCGGATCGCCTACTTCAACGTGGCAGTTTACCCCTTCACCTCCATCTTCCTGGTCGTCTACTGCTTCATCCCAGCCATGTGCAACTTCACCGGCATGTTCATCGTGCAAACCCTCAACGCGGAGTTCCTCTTGTATCTCGTAGCGATCACTGTCACGCTCATGCTCATATCCCTTCTGGAGGTGAAGTGGGCTCGGATAGGGCTAGAAGAGCTGTGGAGAAACGAACAATTCTGGCTGATAGGAGGGACGAGTGCTCACTTGGTGGCAGTGATGCAAGGGCTGTTGAAGGTCATTGCAGGTATAGAGATCTCCTTCACGCTCACCTCCAAGTCTGTGTCAGAGGACGAAGAGGACATTTACGCCGAGATGTACCTGGTGAAATGGACCAGTCTTTTCATAATGCCCTTGACGATCTTGGTGGTGAACATCATCGCACTCGTGATTGGGTGCTCGAGGCAAATCTACAGTGTGATTCCTCAATGGAACAAGCTGTTTGGCGGGGCGTTCTTCAGCTTCTGGGTGCTTGCACATCTTTATCCATTTGCAAAGGGCTTGATGGGGAGAAAAGGCAAAGTTCCTACCATTGTTTATGTCTGGACAGGCCTGCTTTCCATCACACTCTCTCTTCTGTGGATATCAATCAACCCCCCTCGAAACGCACAAGCAAGCGAAGGAGACTAGGCTGTACCCTGTCACGCTATTAGATACTGTAAACTCATTCATTCCTAGGCTGTACATATTTGTAATTATGCATTAGTAGATCATTTATTCTTTTTGAGATTTCATCAGAAAAGTTTTGATGAATTTGATATATGTATAGCACAAACACTAGTGTACAAATCTGCTAATCCAATGTCAGCCTTGTATGTACACATTTGGCAAAAGACTACTGGGAAGGTTGGAAATATGGAGCAAAAGTGAAGCACAGATTTCTGGGAAACACTACTACAAATTGTTTTGCTTCGTATCTTCCATTTGTTAACCTTTTTAACTTGCATTTTGATAAATATGGTTTTGAGGATGTAGCGATACACTCATGCACCCAAACTTTCACCACGCCTTCCCATTCACACCTTCTGGTACCGATGACCTTTTGCAGCAGGCATTTAAATGTCATTCATAAATCATAATGTTTAATCCCAGTTCTCTCTGGGATGATTAAAATGTTTGCTGCAGAAGAAATTATTTTCCAATTTTATTGAATGTGCAAGCATTAACAAGGTATGAAAATAGATGGCTGTTTAAATAAAATAATCACTTGCCTTTTAGAAAAACTGAAATCAGATAAGAAATTCTCGTATTCGGACAGGTCTCTTGACTGCATTTGTGAAACCCTGCAAAAGATTTAGAGTATCAAAACAAATGATGTTCCTGATTCACCCAGCATCAGAACTTAACAATCTTGAGACTAAGCTGTTAAACATATAGTAGTAGCACGGAGTTGACCAGTATAAAGCCATAAATTGAATGTAAAAGTTATGTTTACATACAAAGAAGAATATGGTAATAAACATGGTCCTGTGAAGAAACCAAATTGTCATTTATATTAGGGTTATGTTTTGCTTTATTCAGTGTCCTCAAACGTGGAGCACCTGGCCAAAAATCAAAGTCATAATAAAGATGCAATTCATTCGTACCTCATTAAACTTAAACAATATGGGGCGTGCATCCCTCTCTACCTGTCCTTGATTAGTGGCATTTATGTGCTGAGATCCTTTGCCACTCATCTTTTTGAACCTAGAATTTAAAAAACAAAGTAAAGAAGAGATAGAGGCATTGGCCTGAGGTGAATGTGCATGATGAGCAACTCAAAACCTTTATGGCAGGATATGTTAAATTAGGTTTATTCTGAATGAATTGTTCATTGCATAACTCACTCGGACATTATTTTCTTCTATTGAAAAGTACAAGAGAAGAGCAGAAATCATATTGCTATGCATTTTACATATAGAATCGCCTTTTCAGGTTTCGAGAGAAAGATTATAAGTAACCAGGGACTAAGAAGATGAAAACTGACTCTTATATCACACATGTTAGCAATAGTTGGAATTTCCTGCTCAAAATGGGACTCATTTTAAGTCTCATTCTAAGCGAAACAGGAAAAAAAAAAGATCACCAGTTTCAGGCTTCAAACAAACAGGTACACCAGAAAAGTATAGAGATACTAGATTTGGAGTTAAACTTAAGGAACAGAGCCTTGTTTGTTTAAATTATTGTCATGCCAACCCATGACACACAATTTCAAGCTCTCGTGGCATAACTATGTTCACAATTCCCTTTATAGCTCATATTACTGTTCATTTGAGCTTTGTTTGTTTTGGGCTTGAGGACCAAATTTGCCTTTCATAGCCTTGATATTAGGTCATTCTATAGAATTATATGATTCCCGCATATATAAAATGAAGCTGCGAGTTGAATTGAAACACAGAAGTTACAAAACTACCTGTCAAAAAAATTGAAAGATCCTCCTGTAGGTTTCTTTTTTTCAGAACTCCCTTTAGCTGCAGCAACTACATTAACTCCTGTAGCTGAAGAACCAGATGTAGATATCTCACTTGTCTTTTGAATAGGAGGGCGTTGTATACTAGGATGTTTTTCAGAAGATGTGGTTGTAGAGCAAAACTTGGAAGAAAGTGTATAGTTATTCTTATTTCCGGCTGGCAGATGGTTTTCTTCACTGTAAGAATCCGTGGGGAGTCTCGGTTGGTTTCTGCTACTTTGCAAAATCTTTTGCTTTTCAACCTAATTTTGAAGAATAGATAATATTAAGATATTATAAACACACACGCTGACACACACACACACACACATGTATCAACTAAAATATGGATAAGAGACTTGAAAGCGCCTTTACGAGCCCCTAAAACTAGAAGAACATGGGTTCTTGCTTGAATGCCAAAAATCACTTCATATAAAAAGCTTAGAGACACTAGGGAATTTCTCTGATGTAACTTACCTCATGTACCAAGATTGACTTCACAGCAGAAGCAAGAACAAAATGGCATGAAACATAGCCCTATTGAAATGAAGTAAAATAGTAAACAACTGAAGTTTCCTCTTATTTTTTATGGTAATGAGAATTAAAATACATTAAGAAAATAAAAAAAATAAACCTTGAAGTTTATGAATCCATCAACAGGAGGTTCAAAGCAAAGTTTTGATGAATCTAAAGCATGCTCAAGTTTCATAGCTGCTGATGAAGGATCAGATTTCATGTTCTTATAAGTTATTTCATATGATACCATTGTATCCACCAACTGTGCAAAATCTCTCTTGTCTTTTTCTGACAATAAATGCAAGGCTACCTGAAATGAAACAAAGGCATTTCCTGTTCACATCAACCTAAAAGTACAAGTGGCTACAGACTGCTGCTATCTCTAGAACAGGCCATTCTGGCTCATATTGATAACCATAAGTATGGTAATTACCGGTTTTAGTGTTGGCGGCGATAGAATATGTAACAAAGGAGATATCAAGTCTTCCACAAAAGATTTAGTTGAAAGATGTCTAGATATGAAAGGTGTCATCTTGTTGTGCCACAAATGGAATGTTTCCTTCTTTTCTATTTTCGAAGTCCGACATCTAAAAGTTTGCAACAAAACACAACAATAAGTTCAGCACTACATACATGCCCAATGAAGCATAGAGTACAATGTTTAAGAATAGACATCACACTAACAAGAAAACCAAAAGAACCTGTGAAATGACTTGGGCCATTCAATGTTCGGCCTATCAACCTGAGCAACTATGCCATGAATAGAGATTGCAAGTGAAGGCTCATAAGCTGCAGAATGTCAATATGAAAAATCAGGATAGAACAAGATTAGTTTCAAACATATGCAGGTGGGCAGATTTTCCTCTACCAAGAAGGGCCATGTGTTGTGTGCGCATAATGTATTCATGAATTATGTCAGAATCACCAAGAATATCCAAGGACATGACCTGCAAGTTAATAAACAGATCAGAAGTATAGCTATACAACATATAATAATGCTTGGATCGTCCAGGAACAAGACAAACTAGAATGAAAAGAATCTTTGAAACTTACACTTTTTTGCATCAAAGGATCATTGTACCGGAGATGCAAAATGTTCTCATGGATTCCGTCAAACATTAAATCAAAGTCACCCCTGGAAATATTTATACATTAGAATAGATGATGCATCACACCATCACTTGAAAGTTGAAAGAAAGATACAAATGTCATGGCGAGTTTGAGTTACCTATTAGATATGAAAGAGTGAAGGGATTCAAAATCATTGGAGGTTTGGCGGAAAGAACTATTGTATTTCTTCTCATTTTTTGCCTTGCTCTTATGGAAAATCTTTAAAAGGAATAGTGAAAGATTAAACCACATAGCAGTGACAGCACAAAGGAGAGGGTCACCAAATTTTGAAAAAAAAAGAATACAAGCAAGACCTTCAAAGATATGCATTTCACTGAAGGCATAACTGATAACTAGGAATAGACTTACCTCTTTCCATATGTCAAAAGCGCTTCTTGTTGCATCCTTCCTGCCTACTACTTGAGAACCAAGCTCCAACTACAAGAAAACATATGAAGTTGATCTATCTATTTAAACGAAAGGCCAAAAACATGGACTCTACCACCCGGGCCTATACTTATTTGCTTTATTCCATCATACCCCAAAGCAAAAAAATAGTGAATATTTGGTTCCATCGGATATGATGGAAAAATATCCTTTAATTCCAATATAGAAATTTAAATTGTGATTCTGAATGTACAAGATTCCAGTAATGGAGAAGTTAGGACCAACTAACTTTTTATGGAGAAATCAAGGGCTTCCTTAGTTTTATTTACTAATATGCCCCTTAAGAGAGTCCAAACACATTGGCAACAAGGAAAATGTGTCATAAAATTTAGACCATATTGCTTGCCATTGCCTTAATGGCAATGTTGACAAGTGTTGAAAATGGAAAGTTTTCATTAAATATACATATTAGGCAGATATACTTGACAAATTTTATTTTGAATTTTATGACAATATTCTGTTTTTAACACTCTTAACCATTGTCCTAAGGACAACCATTAGCAAAACTGCATTTAAAATAATCACATGGCAAACGAGACTGTTCTATTCACAGGATTTATGGATAGAAAATTCATAGCACATACCAAATGATTAGAGTAATGATCAGTTTGTCTGGGGAAAAAATAACCATTCTACAGGCTGAGCACTGGTCCATAATATCACTCCCTAATTTCATTCTGAAAAGCACACTATTCCTTTCTAGCTTGTTGATATGTATATTAACTATTAAGTATATACTTGAATGAAGCCGTTTCTCAAGTACTCGACTACAATTGTATGATCAATATTATATAGCAGGATAATACAATATGCATACCACATTGAGGGTCTCCTTCCTTTTGTTGAGAAACTGAAGGGTGTTTAAGCACGAACGTATATCGCATTCTGATGTAAAAAATGAAGTTTATTAAAACTCATCAAGCAAGTTAACAATTTAGTTAAGTCCATAGGTAATGTAATATCTCATTATTTCCAAGTTGACACTTGTAGAATGTCAAGCCATTTGTAACACATTACAGCTCACCCCAGACCGTAGTCATGTAACTTTGGATCCTAAATTCTAGTCAAATCAGATGTTATATGGATTTAGAAGTCAGGACAACTCATTATTCAGATTATCCTTTTTTCTTTATTTGATCCTTGTGGAGTTATTTTACATGATTATAGGAAAAGGTACAATTAGTCTGTCCACCTCTGCTAGCATTAGCCAACAAAGGCAAGACTTTCCTAGGATCACTCTAAATTAGACAATCAGTAAAGCTATGATAAGATTAGACAAGCTAAGTGCGGTATCCGGTATTAATACATCTTGTTGGCATCCCACCTCTAAAAAATGATGTAAAGACTAAAGAGGACTACAATTGTCCACTAATAAATGCTGGCAGGAAAAATTACATATTAGAGCTTGATTATAGCCCATTTTAAAACTCATGTGCAATACTAAACTTATATACATTCTCTAAGGAATTTGCTATCAAATTGAAGCGATTCTGAGGACATAAAAGAAGAATGACATTTTGAGGGAATTATGCTCATAAACAATGCTCACCCGCAAACTCCACTAGAGCAGTAAGACCAACGGAGCTAGTCTTCACACCTTCTTTATTGCATATATACTTGAGCCTACAGTTGTTTACAACAGTTGAAATTTCACAATTGGATTTCACATGAACAAAATGTTACTATGCTTGCAAAGGTCAGTCAGATAAAAAAGTATGAAAGGATTACAAGCTGAGAACAGATAACAACAGGTTAATTAGTCTCAAAAAAGCAAGTGAAAGTTTCTCAATGCAAAAATAGCTAATACTATTTCTATTTCCAGTCCATCAAGCGTTAGTTTCTAACAGCTTGCATTTCAGAGCTTTTATTCAAAGTAGAGAGTTCAAGTCTCTTTTAGCACGAAGCTGCTGGGCCTCTAAAGGGCTGCCACTTTGAGACTTTCCAAGGGATTGAAGGATTGATTTTATTCCGGCCCGACTTCCATTTTCAAGAGAGGATTTGCTGTCCTAACTATATTTTTTAACTCAAATTTCATTCTCTAGCATTCAGCTAAACTTCTAGTTCTCTATCAACAATAAATTCCATGCACTATCACTAACTTACTGTGACTTTTTTTCATATCATATGAATAACAGATATACGGATTGCAGTGAAGTAAAGACTCATAGGAAAATTTGCAATTCCCAAAACAAAACAAAAAAAAGGTATAACATGAGAAATATATGCAACACTGATGAAAGGATGTGATGAAGAAAAATCTAAGTTTCTGTTGTGATGTTAGCACAACTAAAATTTCAGCCAATAAGAAAGTTGTGTTATCTACTTGTCTCAACCAGACATAATTGGATGTGCCAGTATTGTATAGGATAGAAGACACGAAACTAGATTTTAGGAAAATAATATAGGGATCATCCACACATACTCTATCTAGGGGTTGACCGTAGTTGAAGAAAACAGCATATGGTAACACACAATTACTATGAGCACTGAAAACATTGTATAAGGTTTTATTGGCAACAAATACCTGTTTACGACACGAGTGACAGTTGGTTGCACAAATACATGAACCCTGGCATTTCAGAAAAATGTAACAATAAAATCACAAATCTGACTAAAATTTTAGCGAAAAGTTTGATGGTCCCTGACATAAATGATCTAACCTTTATTGAGTCCTCATATTGATATGGAAATAAAATGTACACTGAGAATTTTACTGTACAGTGTGCAAATACATGCATGGAGCCGAAATAGTACACAATCCCATTGATTAATTTCATAAACCAACAAGTATTTTTTTAATTCGAATGTGTTTTAGAAATTACAGTAGCATATATAAGCAGGTATTGGTTTACTGTGTATCCAAAGTGCAAACCGTTAGTGCATGTTTGAAAGAGGCGTTTTAGAGGAGAAGGGAGGAGAGAGGTTACTTTACTTTGTAAGAAAATATTGCTTAAAATTTGGGTATATATATATAATGATAAAGTATTATAAGTTACTCCCTCAGTCCCACAAAGATTTACACTCTTCACTTTTCAAAAATCATGGGAACTTTTGTTTAGTTGTGTGTTTTCATTGATTATTTGATGAAATAAAATATTCTTGTCACCTCTTGTTTTGTAGAACTTCTGGTTGTACTTTTTAAATATGCAAGTTTTATTTTTTATTTTTTATTTTTATACTAATATTTAAATAAAATGAATTGAAAAAATTTGACATTTTACTTCATTTTGCGTAAAGTGTAATTCATTTAGGGATGGAGGGAGTATTTATTTATTCCCATAAACTGATAGCCCGAACACAATTTTTTTAAGTCAAAGATTTAAAAAAAATATCCCCTCCAAAACCCTCCTCCCAAACATAACCTTAAAAATAGCCTGCATTATATGATCCTATGTTCAAAAGCATACAGTAAATTGGCTTTATGCAACTTCATGATCGAAAACTTACTTTGCCACCTGGCGCAATGGCCTCAAGGCAGGAGCATAAAGATCATTGCATATGCATATCACCTGCATGTAAGGCACAATTATGAATCACGAAAAGTGGATACCTTTAACGAATTATAAATATAATACAAGGCATTCGCACTTACAGGCCTTAGCAAAGATGTGGCCTTTTCCTTCTTTTTTGAGGGCTTCCGTACAGAATGTACCCCTTGAGGATCATTTTCTTTTTCAGAAGAAGATTTTCTTTCTGCAGACACCTTAATCAGCACAGCAGGGGTCACTTTTTCTAGAAATATCTGACTTGCCAGTGCAGTCCTACTTTCTTCTTAGTCCATCGCAAAATATGGCCCACTCTCCTAATTTGAGCAACAATTTTTTTGCTTTTTTATAACTCACTCTTTATCTCACTTAACTTTTTGAAATGGTTGGACACACTTGGCCTCACTTGATAAAAAAATTTGAAAATTAAACTATATTTTAATATGTTCTTGTTGACATCCCTTCCCGAGTAACAATGATGGTGATACAATGTTGTACTCCACAGTAGTTTCATTTGCATGAATATGTATAGTCACTTGACTAGCAATGTACAAACAATTTATAATATACCATGCTACAAAAAAGGGACATATATTTACCAACTTTAAAATGACATCCACTGCACCTTTTCCATCATTAAGAGCACCATCAATTTCATCAATAACCTTAACAAGTTAACATCAACAATTATAGCATGTTTAGAGGCTTATGTATTGAAAGATCAAATAAGAAGGTTTGAGTGAAAGAGAGAAAGACAAACAGAGAAAGAAAAAGGAAGGAAAACACAGTGAGACAAACCAAACATTTGGGTTTTGAATCAGCAAAGACAGAGTTCATCTGGATACTATCCAGAATCTTGGCTTCTATCGTTGATGATGACCTGTCATCACTTGCATTAATCTGCAATAAAATCATCTTATAGTTTAAGCTAGTTAACACATCTTTATACATAATTTGCTATATAACAGTTTAGTATCCTATGAGAAATCAGCTAAGCAGCCAAAGGTAGACCGCATATTAGCAGGTTTTTTTTATTTTTTGCAAGAAAAGTCAAACTTAAAAGGTGGTAGATACACTGACCTTCTACTACAAAAAAAATGCTATAATTTAAAAAATTTGGTTTTAAATAAAGAACCAAGAACAAAAAACTTAAATGGAATCAAGTGCTAGAGAACTCGGCAAATTAAAATTTAGAAGACCTCAACTACTCGGTATCCACAATGCCGAGCAGCGACATGAGCAAGTGTTGTTTTCCCAAGCCCAGGAGGACCACAGAGTAGAAGAATCTGCAGTGTAGCATTTCACTAATGAGTAAAGTTAAATCAAAGTAAATTGATAATAAATCTAAAGGAAGAGTGAAAAATATTGAAAACTATAATTTGAAAAAAACTAATACAGACCAAGATGTTGAATGCTTTTATAATCACAGTATACGTGATCTGAAAAGCAGTTGAGCAACTAATATGTAAACAATAAGATATTTGAAAATGCTTGAAAATGCATATCAAGAAAATATTTCTTTCCGGTGCCTGAGAAGATTATTCAAAAGTAATGAATCATTTACATTTTCATTAGAAATGGATCAATGCAGAAGAAAGGCAAGAGATGATTTACACCTTCTGAAGAATGTTTCTCAAACAGATACTCCCTCCATCCTTTAAGATGTTTGACTGGAGTTATTTCAATTCAATTTATTTAAAAATTGGTGTAGAAACAAACATTAAAATTCTATATTTATAAACTATGTCAAAAGTTTCAACAAAACAAGTGGTGACATGACTATACTATTTTATCAAATAAGTAACGAAAATAGGCAAAGAAAGTGGATAAAGTTTGACCATATGAATAGTGAATGGGACTTCATTTTGGGACAGAAGGCAAAATATAGCTTACCTTGTGTTCAGGTGGACCAGAATTTCTCCATTTCTTGTCCCCTACACCCTTGAAATCATTCGACTCACCCTTCGCTTGAAATGGAAGATTATGAGACCTGTCGTTGGTGAATATAGATCCTCTGTTGATTCCATTAGTCTTACGCCCAAAAAAATGTGGGCGCTTAACAGATGAATGACGTCGCAATGCAGTCAAGACATTATCGGTTGTACTCTTTATTTCAGATCCATAAACACATGAATCCCACTGTTTCAACCACATTAAAACCTACAATAAAGTTATAACAAAGTGTTAACAACGGAGCATGTAAATAGGATTGGGATATCCATATGGTTGAATGTTTGACACTTCAAATCTCCACTTGAACCAATTATGATAGTTTCAGATTCCAAAGTATGACTGGAAGTGGAAGTTTAAACCAATGGATGACCAAGTTCCCATTTCTCAAAATCAGACACATTGCAACAGAAATGGAAGCACTAGTTAAAATTCAATGATGTGGTTCTAACATGTTGTTTATATATTTTGGTGTACCTAAATAGCAATTCCAAATGTGAACCCCATCAATTTAACCAGGCATAGACATATGATGCATTACCTCTCTATTTGTGTGCTCATTACTAAGAAGTTCTGTAAATGAGCTTGGAGCATACTTTTCCACCCACAGTTGCTCGGTTAGTATTGTGGTTTTTGAAGGACTTGCTTCAATCTGATCTTCCGAGCTAGCTTGCAAAGCCTTGATTTTTTTTAAAAAGAAGAAATATGAGGCAGTAAGAATTTGTGGATGAAAGTGCAATAAGCTGAATTATTTTGAGCTCTGAGTATATCTCAAATCACCATTTAGATTCACAGTTGAGCACGTGACTGTTAGGCTAAGATCTTACAATATCAGAGGTAGCAGATTGGATTTGAAAACATAACCTGTCCAAACTAACAATCATTTAGAGTTTGAAAAATCATTTGGAAAGTCATTCTCTAGTTAGCTTAGCCAGATAGATAGAATAACCATCAGCCGCAGAGAATTTTTTTTACTAGCATAGCAAGGTTTGACTTTCTTAAAACTACATTTGGAAAATTCAAATGAATATAGTTTTTGGTGGACAGTGACTAGCATCAGTTCTCTGAGAAGCAAAATTTGATAGTACTTAATGTTCTTAAGAAAGACATTGAAGGAAATATCATGCAAAACATGTGAGTTGATAACACCGAAAGGAATATCATGTGTGCTTATACAATCAAGTATATACATGTAGGAGTCATAGGATAGCACACCAGTGCGACCGTGTCCTGCCTGTAAATTTGTGAGACTTAGAAAGCGTTTGGCTGACACCCCAATCAACTATTCTTAGGCTGCTTTAAGGGACTTTAGCTGTTTGACTACAACCAAAAAGCTATTATGGTTTTGGTGAACAATTTGGGATAGCTAACTCACCCCAAACAACAACAAAAAAACAGAATTTTAATAGCGGATTACAATAGCTGTTCGGAAAATTACCTTTATTTTCTTGCCAAAATTTGTAAGGGAAATAAATAGTTAGTGGCCTAAAAGGACGTGGGCTAAACAATTTTTTCATAAATATCTAATTTCACCAAACATATTTTTAAGCAAGAGCTATAAAACAAATAGCTACTATAAATTGCTAATACCAAAAAACAGCTGATTTTTGTTTTCCATACATCCCCTTAAACGCTTCTAGAAATATTTTGGAGCATAACAAAATAAGTCCAATAATGAGTTCCACTACTTTTTGAAACAGATACAAAATATTGAAGGTGACTCCAAAATATTTTCTTCCAAAAATTGTCGTTTTCTGCATAAATCCTTATAGTGCTATGGGTAGGCATTATAATAGCAAACAAATGGCACCTAGGATTCTACTTATAGTCCGAGTACTACTTCTAGAGGAAAGAAGATCATAAATTCTGTGAAGCGCGGAACAAGTAAAACTAACTTCATTGCATTTGCTTGAGAAGAAAAGAGTACCAACCGATAAAATTAAATCAAGGTGCTTTATTAGAAACTCTAATTATTCTAACAATGTGTGTAATGCGAGGTCATCATTTTCTATTCTTGGAGTAAAGGATAATGCCTTAATTTTCACACCTTTGTAAATTCATCATGTTCTACTTTCTGCATAAGCACCCTGATAGACTCTCGAATAAGACCTGAAAAATTAGTGAACTTCTTTAATAAATAAGCTCTGTATCTATCTGCTAAAAACAACATTTTGTTACATTATCTCAAGAACAATTAGCCTTCTACTTCACTCACCAGTAGATTCACCCTTTGTGTCCAACTTTCGGGTCCTCTCTCTCATATGATATCTGCATATCTTAGCATAAACCCTCTCTCCATCCAGCCCTGTGACCGGTACACAATCACCATTAATTTCCATGGCATACCTCGACAAAGTCTTTTCCTTCTCCTCCTCTTTCTCCACCTCCTCAGGAGCAGGCGGCACAGGCGGGGGCGAGAAGCTGAGCCAATCCTCCTCGCATTCAATTTCCACTCTTTCAACCCTGATACGTTTCTCCTGAACCGAAGCCCCATTTTCGGGAACAATCGGGCCCAGGTCGGGTCGGAACCGTTTCTTGGTCTGGTTGGGGACTGGGGGTTTGGGAGGGATTGCGAGGGTGGGCTTTGGGGGCAATTGAAGTGGGGGGTTTCTCGGTTCGGGAAAGTCGGCGTCTTTAACGGGGTTTACGCATGCGATTTCTTCATCGGGCTCCGACGGCGGGGACGGTGGTTGCTGGAAATCGTCTTCGAGATTGAGATCGTCGTGGACGTGGTACGAGTTCGATTCGAGCCATTCGAGCTCGGAAGGATCGGGAATGTCCATATCCATCTCCATAGCAATTCTTCAGCTGGATTCGATCCTTAGATTGGAATGGCGCTGATGAACTGAGTAGTGGGCCGAGATGAAGATGGGGATGTTTATGTTTCGGCGGGAAAAGGAAGTAATGGCGGGCGAGTAAGGGTGCGTTTGGTCGGATGAGTGGGAGGAAAAAGATAAAAAGAACTTTAATTATCAATTGTCCATGTCGCTTTGCAAAGCAAAGTGAGAGCACTCGAAATACCTTTGAAGTTTGGGGCTTCAAATTTGGACTTCTAACTTTCTATTTGTCACATTAGTTTTAATCTGTTTTAATTTATTTCACAAATTCACCATAAATGGATTTGAAACCCCAAGCTTCAAATTGGAGCTTCAAACTTTTTTTTTAATTTTTTAGTACACATTTTATAAAAGAAAATAAATAAAATCTGATTAATTAATTCAATTTAAACAATAATAAGCATTAAAAAATTGCATTCAATAAAAAAGAAAGGCTTAAAAATCACTTGAATGACTTAAAAAACTTATAAATTACATTACATTGGACGACTACAAATATGTTCAAGCAGATTCGCTGTTGGTTCATCGTGATTCTCTCGGCTTTGAACTTTTTGACGGTTTCTTTGTTTATTTTCTTCGTTGATTTCTTCATAGATAGGCTTCTTCTCGTCCAGGTTGTAATAACAATTTGCAAACCCATTGTCCTCTATAATCATATTATGAAGAATAATACATTTGTACATGATATTCTTCATTTTCGTTTGAGAGTAACACTTGGACGAACGATTGATAATGTGTCACTTACCCTTTAACACCCAGAAGGCTCGTTCAACATCCTTTTTTCCGTCTCATGAGCATTTTGTACATCTGTCTTTTATGACTGATTGATTCCGAGAGCGAGTTGACAATTGTGGAATATTCTCGATATATTACATCGGCAATATAATATCCACGCTTGTAAAGCGTCCCTCTAAGCTCAAAAGACGAGTCAAGTGTAGCCTCATTCACCCAATCGTCAAATATGAGTGATTGATCAATAACATTGATGTCTTTGTTTGAGCCCGTAACACTAAAAAAACATGTCAAGACCACAAGTCATTTGAAGCCACAACTTCAAGCATAATAGTAGGTTTGGGATGATCACCTTGAGAGAACTGACCATGCCACGTAGTGGTACAATTTTTTCATTCCCAATGCATGCAATCGATGCTCCCATGCATGCTAACAAAGTCGTGTGTTAGCAACATGATATGTCTCGCCTGTAATTGCTCAATGTCGTTTGCTATCTGCTTACGTAAATACCTCTTATGATAAAGTCAAATAATAGCTTTAGAAAATTAATAAACACATGACCTGATGTTTCAAGCCGACATCTACAAGTATTCATCAATCATATTACTAGTCGTCCCGTACGCCATCTGACGAAGCGTGGCGGTGCACTTTAGGACGCTGTTAAAACAGCGATGGCCTCTCGCATCAAACTGTTAGGTGAACCAAGACACCTTGCGTACAAAATTGACAAGAATGCGTAAAAACAAAGAACAACTCATCCGAAAATGATTACTAAAATCCTCTAGTATGTAAACACACGGAATATTGAAGTAGTCATTGAGTAGTGTTTTGTGTGCAGTCGTCCGATCACAATTTAAACGCTCACATCGGGTTAAGCGCTGGGACGATTCCGCTTCCTCTGTTGTGCTTGTTGCTACCATTTGTAACAGCCCGCCGAGAAAGAACAAAACACAAGAGCTCGTGTTTCATTGTCAGATGAGGAAGATCTCATTTTTTTGATGGTTTGTTGAGAAAATTGAGAATATAGAATTTTTTTTGGATGGGTTATATAGAGAATGAGAATATGTTGTGTGTATACTTTTCTAAAAATAAGGGGGTATTTATAGTTAAAAAATTAAAAAAATTATTATTTTTTAAAAATTGCCTAACGGTCAGATCTTTGACCATTGGGGGGGTTGGTTGTTGGCAACAGCTCATCAACGTTTAACGCCAAATGAATGAAACCGAGAAAATGATGCATGGGGCGTTGTTTAACGCCATAACGACGTTAAACCCGCGTTTGACACGTAGGGCGTCACCCCCCCCCCCACTTCGAATGCCTTGAGATTTTTTTAAATCTTAACATCTCCTTTGTTTATCTACATGTCTCCAATGAATATGTAAAATATGTTACTCAAAATAAATCACACCATTTTATATTTTTGATATATTTTTTAAAATCCTATGAAGTAAAAAATGATGTTTTTTTACTTTAGCCACACACATCTTAAGGAGTGACAAAGACTATGGTCGAACGACATAATTGTGACTCTCTCGGATAGAAGTTCATAGGTTCAAACCCTAGTGGATATTGATTCATTATACTACCTCCGTCTCATAGCAATATTGGAATTTTGGATTACGATGTATGATCGATATGATTTTAACATATTTCAATTTATATAAAGATTGATGTAAAATTAATAAATAAAACTTACTACCTTTGTCCTAGAATTTTTATCTAATTATGATTATTTTTTTATAGTTTACCATGATCGGTCTTAGACCTATACTTAGATAAAAGTTTTGTGGTATATTAATTAGATAAAATAATATTTTGAAAAATATTTTATAAAATAATTCAAATAAAATTATTTTCATACCAATATCTAATGCTCCATCCGTCCCAAAATTGAACACAATATGCAATATTCAAAACTCACGATAGATTTTGTTTATTAGTGTTTTTTCATTGATTATTTGATAAAATAAATTATTCTTTCCGCCTCTTGTTTCGTAAATTTTTTTACGTATCCAAGTAGTTTTTAAATATGCAAGTTGTATTTTTAATTTATTTATATACAAATTTTTAAATAAAATGAATTGTTAAAAATAAGATTTTTCTTTGTTTTGTGCAATTTGTAATCTATTACAGACAAAGGGCGCATAAGTTTTTTTTATTCAATGGTCATAGTTTTCAATTTTGACTACAAAAAGTTAAAGCTAGACAAATATTCAGAAGAAATAATATACTAAAAACTACCGAGTACATAAAAAATTCTACAAAACAAGTAGAGACAAAATTATTTTATTTTATCAAGAAATCAATGAGGTTCACTAAGAGTTTTGACCATTAATTAACAAAGGCTTAGAAAAAGAAGTGGATAAAGATGAAGAAAAATTAAACTCCTAGTTCGATTTTGTACCGTTAAAAAAATTGTTAAAAAGAAAATAATATACCGCAAGAATTTTTCTATAAGAGAGAAATGTTGTGAACCACGTATTTTTTGTTAAAAAAGGAAATTGGATAAGTGGGAACTTTGTTTTAGAAAAGGTGAAAAAACAAAATTTTGGGGTCACACAAAATCATTAAGAATGACTTCTAACCGTTGCTAGTCATTGGAATGCTTTTACAAGTCAATATCAACACTGGGTGCAAAGTGAAAACCCACGACTTTGGCATCAAAGAAGTATTTACCAGCTGCAAGAAGAGCTCACACCAGCAAGAAATATAAAGAAGAGCCAGCTGCTCTGAAAACGAAAGAAGAGCTCACACCTCGGCTACGCATAATACCGTCCTTACCATGGTAACGTGTACATTACAAGTTCACATAAGCTAAAGGATCCACATACAGAAACAAAATATTCACAAAATGTACAAAGAATAATGTACAACAACAACAAACCCAGTAAAATCCCACGAAAGTAGGGTCTGGGGGTGGGTGTGTGTGTGCACATGCTTTACCCCTACTCGATAGTAGAACAATGTATAAAGTGCACCTTATCTTTTAAGTAGTGCCGAAAGGTCCTTCGAATCTTTGATGGCACGAAGACAATGCATTGAATAAGCCACCTACAATTAAATACCAGATGAATGCTAGACTAAAAATTGTGGGGTTCAAGAAGAGAGAACTTAACAATTACCGATTTGCATATAAAGAGTCTGGTCATGAGTTGGGTAGTTGAGCAATGGTCCCTCGGTCAGGACAACACCCACTAACTATCATTCTTCCATAGACTGCATATGCTCGGTCACGATCACCCGACACGGTATACCCTTTGATTAGAGCATTATATGTGAATACATTAGGCTCAAGATCCAGATTCTGAAGTTTTTCATACACTTTGCTTGCCTCTTCCATCCTTCCAATGATTCCAAGATTGAAAATTAAAGAGTTATATGTATAGAGGTCGGGAGCAACTCCTCTGGTTTGCATCTCATCGAGAAGACTCAAGGCTTCCTCGAACTTCCCTGCCTTCCCGAGGCCATTGATCATAAGATTGTATGAAACTAAATCAGGAACAATGCCCGACGATTTCATTTCCTCAAAGTAACGCACGGCTTCGTCCACTTTTCCTGCCAAGGAAAGGCAATCCACAAGAATGGTGTAGGATTTTAAATCTGGTTTGATGCCTTCTCTGATCATCTTCTCAAACAGATGGCAAGCAGTTTCTAAATCGCCTGCCTTTCCAAACCCATTTATGGCGATATTGTAGATGGCAGAGGTAGGTTTGCAACCATAGCTCATCATTTCCTCAAATAAATTCTTTGCCGCATCAAAATTTTTAGCCATCAAATGGCCATCTATCAAAGGACCATAAGTACAGGGGGTGGGAGAAAAGCCACCATTGACAAGATCATGATAAATATCTAGTGCTCTCTCTAGCTTACCAGACTTCACCAGACCAGAGATAAGTATGTTGTAAGTTGTAGAATTGGGTCCGCATCCTCTCTGAAGCATTTCTTCATACAGTTCAAAAACTTCGTCCATATTTCGAGTCTTTCCAAGATGGCCAAGCAATGTGTTATATGTAAAGACATTTGGGGCGCAGCCATTGTTCTTCATCTCTGCAAAAGCACTCCATGCCAGCTCTGAAAGACGACAATCAAGAAGTCCCCCAATCAAAGGGTGATATGAGTTTAATGTTGGACGGATTCCAAAAGATTTTGTAAACTTTACAAAAGCAGAGTGGGCATCAAGAGCTTTCTTTTGCTTACACAGAAATATTATTAAAGGTACTATAATCGCGTCACTTTTGCAAATACCCTTAGACGCCAGCATTTCAATGAACAATATGGAGTCTTCTGGTTTTGCTTTATTCATAAATCCCTCGCAAAGACTTCTCCAGAAATCGTCATCTGCTCGATGTGGCATTTGCCAAATGAAATCCCCTAAAATTTTAACAGCATACTCAATGGAGCCATCTTTTACAAGACCAGGAACAATAATGGTAATCGTTACACGATCGGGCTGAACAATTTTCTTCATCTGATTGAAGAGCCAAAATGCTTCACGAACCCGGCTCTCTTTAACCAATCCATGAATGACAGTGTTATAAGTAAAAACATCAGGATTGCAATTTGTTTGTGTCATCTCATAAAGCATTTTCATGGCTCTATCGACCTCGCTGGCCTTGCAAAAACAATCCAGAAGAGTATTATAAGTTGTTGTGTCGGGAGAGCATCCCTGTGTACTCATCATGCTCTCAAATAATTCAAAAGCCTCCTGAACTTTACCTTGCTTGCTAAGTCCAGCCAATAATGTGTTATAGGTCACAACTGTAGGGACAAGTCTCATATCCTTCATTCTATTAAACACTTCCCAAGCCTCATCAGCTCGACCAGCCTTGTAAAGTATGTCGATCAATGAATTAACTATAAATGCATCAGGCCGACATTCATTCTCCATCATCTCGTGTAGCAAATGAACGGCTTCATCAACTTTCCCTGCACTTCTGTAGCACTTCATCATGATGTTATAGGTTATGGAATCTGGATCAAGTCCACTTCTTCTTATCCCATCAAATACACTTTTAGCCTCCCTGAATCTGCCCGAATCCACCAGGCTATTCAGAGAAGCATTGCAAGCGACTAGATTTGGCACAATTCCTTGAGCTTTCATCTTCTCAAATGTTTGAAGTGCTTTATTAGGATCTCCAACTTTTCCATAGTAGTCAATGAAGGGGACATACGTGAAACAATTACCCTGAACTCCGAAAGACCCCATGTTATCTAACAGTAGTAACGCGTCATTCAACTTATTGATTCTTAGAAGGCCACCAATCAGTGAGTTGTAAGTATGAAGATTAGGTGATACTCCCTTCTCTCTCATAACATCTAATGTTGAAAAGGCTTCATCGACCTTCCCAACTTTGCACAATGCTTCAATCAGTACAGTGAACGTAACAACATCCAGTTCGTAACCATCGGCTTCCATCCTGTCAAGAAATTCCCTAACAGAGTCCAAGTCCCCTAAGTCACTAAACCTGCCCAACAGTGTGATATACATTACTCGATCAGGTTTATGGTTAAGGGATTTCAGCTTAATGAAAATTTCTTTTGCGGCATCAAGTTTTCCAGCAACACATAGAGCATCAATAAGGACTGTGTAAGTAACAACATCGGGTGTGCACCCCTCACTTTCCATTCGTTTTAATATAGTATAGAGCTCATCAGTTTTTCCGGCTCTCCCAAGCACTCTAATGCAGATAGTAAAGGTGTAAACATTAGGTTTCAATCCCGCGATATACATCTCGTTTAGCAAATTCATGACCGTCACATTATCCCTTCTTTTCTCATAAGCAACCATTAACGCTGAGTAAGTCTTAAGGTTCAGCTTAATGCCTTCTGAAATAGCTCTTCTATATACTTTTAAAGCCTCCCGATGCAATCCAGCGTGAAGAAGTAAGTGTATCAAGCCGTTATAGGAATACACATTTAACACAAAACCTGCTCCTCTCATCCTATCAAGTGCAAATGGTGCCATTCTCATCCCTCCGCGTACATGTAGACCTCTGAATATAGTCAGATATGTGTCCAGATTCCTATTGATAACCTGTTCTTGCATTACATCAAACACCATAGCCATATCATTGACCCTCCCATGGATCCTCAAAAACTCCAGCATGTAATTACATGTTTCCGTGGTGTGCACCACCCTAGGAAGCTCAAGAACAGAATTAAACAGACGAACGGCTTCACTCGGGTCTGAAAACGACTTCAGAATCTCAAACACTTCCTCTGAAGAAATCTCATTCTTCAGACCCTCCATGGAGGAGTTCATCACATTCTGGCAGACACCCACATTTCTTCTTTCCGTTTTCTTCCTAATTCCTACACATCCACCTTCAAAAACCTTCAAAGTTTTAGTCTTTCGGCCTCCAAATGTTCCATTACTGACTGAAACCCACAGTGAAAAAGAGCTATTCCTACCAGGCGCAGTATCAGATACGGATATACAATTATGATAAACGCAACAGAATCTCGACGAATTAAGGACAACCACGGCCATATTCGAAAAAGAAATTCAGAACATTGTTTGCTTGAAATTCAATTGCTTAGCAGAAACCAGGAAGCCAAAGACAAAATCACAGAGCGAACATTGAAGAGTGAAAATGAATCTATGGTGGGAGGAAGGAGATGATGGGCTTATCTTTAGAATGTGGATTAAGTGGGCAGAGCCGCTGAGCCTCGCCGAAGCAATTCGTCCGTCTTTTGGATGGATCAAAGCAATTTCATCTTGTGTAGGGCCCAAAGCTAAATAACACAACGGATTTTAACGAGTGACAAAGTAACAAACCTTGACCCTACTGAAAATATTAAGTAACAAAGCAATTCGTCCGTCTTTGAATGTTGGTTTTGTTGACCGAATTCGAAGATGAACGAATTTAAAATGACTCTGACCAAATTTGAATCTGATCTAATCGACCCGATAACATAAAAGTTTTTCAAAATCATGTACTTTAATAATATGAAAAATAATGTAATAAAAATAAGGTTATGTCTTAAATTTTTATCTTATTACTCATTTTTAGTGTTTAATTTTATATCTTCAAACAAGTTTTTTAATGATATCATATAGTTATCATACGTTTTTTCTCAAAAGTGGTACATTTTTTGGCAGTGTGGAATAGTCATGTTATGCCTACACTTTCTGGCAGTGTGTTATGCACATATTTTTGGCAGTGTGTTATGATTCACAATACTTAACTACACTTTCTAGTAGTGTTTATGCTCATGTTCTGGAAGTGTATACCAACTTAAACACATTTTTTGATAGTGTGGAATGATCATGATTTGGCAAGTGGATACATTGCATGTTATATTGGGTATGAAGATAGTATGTTATATGCCCATGTTCTGGAAGTGTATATCAATTTAAACACATTTTTTGGCAGTGTGGAAAACAAAGAACAAATTTGAAATTGCATCCACACGAGTTCCAATATCTCATAGCAGTGCTATATTGGGTATTTTAAGTATATATTAGTGCCATGACAATACTTTTCCCATTTAACTAGAGTATAATAGTTTGTTCTCTTAAACTTTTTTTAATTTATTATTTATTTTTATTGATCGAAACCATATCAAAACATATCAGAAACACTTTAAATATATATAACTAGAATCAGATTAGAACATAATCGAATCTAATCAAAACCAATCAGATAAGTTTACGTATACAAGCCCTAACTAGTAGGGGTATTGATAGAATTTAGGATGGGGTATGGATCATTGGATTGAGCAATAAAACACTTGGATTGAACCACATTAAAAGATTGAATCCAATCGATTAGTTAGTTTAACTTCCGATGTGGGATGCACTCTAACAGGTATGCACAAATTGATAAACCAACAAATCACACCATACTGAAACTAATATTTTGGTGACCAAAACCGGAAAAAATACCTTGGTTTGGTATTTGGTTTTTCAATTTCCAAAATATTGATTTTGGGTTTGATTTTCTTAAATTGATTGATAATTCAGTTAAAAAAACTGAATACGAATTTCACATTATTATACAGGTAAAATAAATTTGAAAAATAAATAAATAAATTATTTACGTACGGAGTAATATCTGCACACTAAAATACATATGAGATGCATGCCATCCAAGTTTTATTTATTAAATTATTACACATAATGATGAGAAATTCAATACAGACACACTAAAATAGAGGGAATTGGTTTATGATATTATTGGATCTAAAGCAATATATAGACCTCTTAACAATAAGACAACACACATAGATTGGCCATGTAAATTTCACGAATTTGTTATCGTGAACTACATTTTTTTTGTTACGGTGACAACGACATTGTAAAAACGAATATTCCCTTTAAAGAGAGATTCCAGAATCCTCTTTCGGTACTGATGCATAATTTTCTCGATGACATTCTCTCCGAAATGAGTGAGAAGCATTGGTTCCGACACCGCTCTAAAACACTTGGCAACGTTGTACCCTTCTTCTTCCAACTTATTCTCGTCCACGAACTCAGAAGGATCGCAATGGACGTATGTAACTTCCAAGGAGTTGATGGAGAAGGACCCCTCGTTTTCAACTATGTGCTTCACTTCAGCCGGAGATGGTGTGTAATAAGGAATGTTGAAAGTATTTAACTTTTGGTCTTCAATCAATCCCTACAATTAGATTTTATCAATAGTTTTTCTTCACTCCATATTGGTAACACTAAATATGTTTGAATTAGGTTGAGAAGTTAGAAATTAAAGTAAACAAGAGTGAGATGGTTCTAACTTTTTCCCTACAAATTTGGAAGAAAACTTGTTTTTTTCTCTCTGATACCATGATAGAATTTGGGATGGGTATAGACAATTTGATTGGGTAATAAGACACTTGGGCTGAACAACATTAAAAGATTGAATCCAATCGATTAGTTAGTTTAATTCAAGAGCTTATATACTGATTACTTTACTCTTTGACTTTCGATATGAGATGTACTCTAACACAAACATTAAATTGTTTTCCATATCATTTAATTTTATTTTCCATTTCAAATTCTGCTAACAAAACATAGTGTAAATGCAAGACAAATTAAATTAGCTTTATACAGTATCTTCTATCTTGTGGAAACATTAAGGAGGTGTTTGGTTCAGGGATAAGGGAATCGGGAAACGGAATGGGATTCCCTCATTTCCTTTGTTGTGATTTGTTTTTAAAAAAAATCATTCCCTCTCCCCAAATTTAGGTTTTGGATTACCTTTAAGCCTTTTCCATTCCGGGCTCTATACTCGTGTTTCTCATTCCCTTTCCTTATCCTAACGCTTCTACCCCTTCGGCCCTTCCCCAACCCTTCCATTTTCCTAGTCGCTGCTCCGTTTCTTCCTCGCCGCCACACACCTTCTCGTCGCCGCTGCAACTCCATCCGCCACACGTATGTTCTCCCCCTCC